ACAAACTCAAACTCATCAAAGGTCTAACAATACTCTTCTTATCGGATTGACCACTTATGCAGAAAGAATTGTAGCTTACAGAATGCGCAAATTTGGCATTTCAGCCAGCTCTGGGGGAAGGTATCCCGATAAGTTGTTATTGTCAAGCAATCTGAAAATTCAAACACATTAGCTTCAGAAAACAAATAATCAGTTTTAGAATATAAAAATCGTTTGATAGGCCTGCAACCACAAGCTTGAGCTTTTGGTTGAGTTGGTTCCTTACATGGTATCAGAGTCTTGTTTAGCAAAAGGTCACACGATCGAAACTCACTACCAGCCAATTTTAAACAAATTATAGTTTCACAGCCAGTGAGGTGGTTTTTTAGAATATAAAAAGCCTTTCCTAAACTTACAACCAGAGGCTTGAGCTTTTGGTTGAGTTGGTTCCTTGACAGTCAAGAATAACACAAGGGAGTCAATGATCAGCATAACATCCACCAAAAGTGTAGGCACGATAAATCTATTTTATATATATATATATACACACACACACACACACACAAACACATATATAACTAGCATGGTTAAAGCCAAATATACAGTCAACTTACAAGTGAACAATATTTGGAAGTCTAGACAGCTGATGTGGGATTTGTCCACTTAAGGAGTTGTTATTCATGTGGCTGCCAAAGAAAAAAAGGTACACAAAAAATTAGTAAAAGAGCATAAAAGCATGTCCAACACTCCAACGACGAAAAATTGGATTATTCATTAGTTTTCTTACAAGTGTTTTGTTTTGTTCAAATTGGAAAACGAAACGGGTATAGGTCCAGAAATATAATTCTGGTCAATTTGTATCCTGTCCAAGTTAGGAAGATAACCAAGCTCTTCAGGCAAGGAACCTGTCAGTTTATTTCCATTCAGAAGCCTGGAGACCAAAGGGTGGTGCAGAAAATCAGAAACGCAATATGGAATATACTTTGTTTTGGAGCTAATGAACAAACAAGATGACCAACTTACAATAGTTTCAATGATGTAATGTTCCCGATTTCCTTTGGTATACTTCCACCAATACTGTTCCACATTACGTCTCTTTCAGGGCAAACAGAAAGTAAAGATATTTGTTAAAAAGGAGCATAAATAAAAAGGCATACAACATCTTCATACCAAAAAAAACTTACAATATGTTCATATAAGATAAGCGGCCAAGCTCGGGTGATAAGCTTCCTGATATGTTCATATTCAGAAGTTGCCTGTTACAATGACAAGATAATGAGCCCATCCTTTGACACCATAAGAATATACTCCCTCATCCCCAAAAAAGAACTTCAGTGTTTGAATTTACAGAGTTCAAGATAAGTGTGTAGTGAAATTTGTTTAGAAGAGAGAAATTTTGTATGCCACATATTCCTTACCTTTTAGGGAATAAGTAAAAGTGTGAAGTTTTTTTAGGCATCCAAAAAAGGAAAGGGTGAAGTTCTTTGTGGGATGGAGGGAGTATATGATGCTAATTATGTGAAATTATGTTGTAATGGATGCAAATAATTAGTTTGTCAATTTTCCAAAATAAAATAACTAATGTGAACAAGTAATGGTTGTATTATATGCACTTACGAATTTTTTCCTCTACAAACAAAAGATGAAGTCTTTAGTGCAAAAAAAATTTAAACAAATATGGAGTACAAAGTAAATGTTTATTTTGATGAAAACTTGATTTAAAAAATGAACCAAGCATGGAGAGTCATACAGTTCTCGAACATGAAGGTATCCATCATTTATGGTGTCATTATAGCACAGCACACCAGTCCAATTAGAGACACATGGATCTCCCTTTCTCCAGTTACTGAGATTCCTATTTGGATCAACCAAACTGTCCTTAATGGCAAGCAATGCCTTCACTGCATTTAAGTATTTCAAAGTGACCACGCTTGAAGTTCATCCATTTATATCTTCAAAGAAAGAATCAGGTCCCAAACTTCTACTAATTTTAATTTTTAAGTGCTCGTTTGTTTTGGTTCTTCTCTTAGCCATTTCTGAGCTATTCAAAAATTAGTTGATTCTAAGGAATCAAACAATTGATTGCTTTTGAGAATCAGATTGTGTGGAGCAAAATAGACATTTGATCCTCCCCAGAATCGGAAACACCAGTAGCTTCTAGCTTATTCCGATAATTAGATTCGAAGAAACTACAATAAGATATCAAAACAAATGCTGTTTGAATCTAGGCAATGCATAAACTCAGCTTATTATAAAAGCCTTGAAACCAATGAACCAACTCAACCAAAAGCTTAAACTTGTGGTTGAAAGCACGGAATGCTTTTGTACCCTAATACATCCCCTCACGTGCAGGCGAGGTCTATTTGTTCGAGTCTTGCACGTAAACATTAAATATTTTTTGAAATTGGGTGGTGATGAGAGTTGAATTTGTGATTGTGCTTTAATATCATGTCAAAGAATCAATTCAACCAAAAGCTTGGTTGAAGGCCCGGGTTTATACACTAATATAAAGAGGAATAAAGTTGCTACCTTCATCCGGATGAGTAACTCGGTCATCTGCCCTTGTAAACAACATAGACCAACAAATCCATACAAGCAAACTGACCCCAATCCAAGTGACTCTTCTGGTGCTCATTTCCCAGATTCAGAAACCTCTTCTGGTAATCCTAGATTTGGACACAATTTGCAAAATCACTACCTAAAGAAAAACAAAAATCCCATTGCAAAGATGGAAGAAAACAATGCATATTCTACAACAACCGTGCCCACAAATTTGGGTCAAGAAAACATCATCGAAATGAACAAATTTGGGTCAAAAAAATCAAAACCTGGTAGGCCTCGTTTGTCTCAGGGGTTTACCTTACAGAGCTGGAGAAAAATGAGTATACAGTAGGATAGAACTGTTTGAAAATGAAGATTTCTCAAGTGAGATGAGAAAAGAAGAAATTCCTGCGGCATTCGTGAGGTGGGCTGCTGTGATTTGTTGTGAAATTGAAGAGTATTTGGATGATCATTGATTAGTAGTAGATATAATACACCATTGGATGATAAAAATGGGTTTATATTTGCTCTGGGAATGTTGACTTTCTGGAAGACGAAGTCGCAGCATGTGCATGTTGCTGAGCTGTTCTTCTTGATCCCATACTTTTATATAGTGATGATGATGATGATGGCTCAACAAGATTTCTGGGTCAGGAGTGGAAAAATCGTCGGCGGGGTTTGCCGAACTCCGGTCCGAAGGGGGGTGGGGTGCCGTGGCATCTTTCGGATTCACACTTCACCGTTTGATGACGGTGCCAGTCTTTGGCGTACATACGTAAAGAAACTGCTCCGAACCACCAAGGGATTGTTTGGTTTGAAGGAGTGAAAGAGAGTAAGAATTGGCCAAATAGCTTCTCTGTCGACGTGATTTGAAAAATTGACATTAATATCTTTCTATTTTCAGAATTTATTTTTAAAGTCTCTGTGGTTTTAAAACATTGCACTCACATCCTTTCTGATTATTTTCCGGCGAACAAGATGCATTGGCGCATAATTTCTAAACAATAGGAGGCATTCGTGCTCATTTCTTATTTTTCGTTTATTATTTGTGTTTTCCCTTTTTAAATATTATCTATCTCTTTTTCCTTTTCCTAATTTTTTAATATAATTTTCAATTTTTTATGATGTTTTAAAATTTTTAAAATTCTTTGTGTTTGAAATAAAAATAAAAAACTAACATACATTACATCTATCTCAAATTAAACATTTTCACTTTTTTTATTTAGAATAATTTTTTGAAAAGTTCAAAAAGAAAACCCAGAATAAAAAAATAAAAATACGGAAAAACGAAATAAAAAAAAATTAAAATATGCAAATAAATAGTCTTACAAAAAATATTAGATACGCCTTAAAAAATCCTTAGAATTGAGATGTCCAAAAAAGATATTCATTTTTATTTTTTTATTATTTTATTTCTCGTTTTATTCCTAATTTTTTGAAGTTATCAAAAAAATTCAGAAAAAACAACAATTGTTAATTTCAGACGTACATATGCATTATATGTTAATTTTTTTCAAATAAAAATAACTTTATATTTTAAAAACATTATAAAAATAATTTTAAAAAACCTTTATTAATAAATGAAACAAATAAAGGAAAAAATAGAAAAACCATTGGTGCATATTTTTTCAAATCATAGGGGACACCGGTGCTCATTTCATACATTTCTTCTTTTTCTTTGTATTTCTCCTTTTTCCCGTTCATGGTTTGTTTTATCAATCATGTTTTGCTAAATTTCTTTTTAATTTTTTTAATGTTCTTAAATTTTAAAAATGGTTTTTGTTTGGAAAATAGTTAACATACGAGTATATTGTATGTGTACATCTCAAATTAACAAATTTCATTTTTTATTTTCTAGAATAAAAAGTAAAACGTTTTTGACAACTTAAAAAAATGAGGAATAAAATAAGAAATAAAATAAAACAAAAAAAGAAAACTGAATATCCTTTTGGATATTTCAAATCTAAAGACTTTTTAGGCATTTTGAAGTTTTTTTGTCTAAGATTTTTTTTGCATGTTTCATTTTTTTTCATTTCGTTTTTTCATGTTTTTAGTTTTTTATTTTGATTTTTATTTTTGAACTTAGCCAAAAAAAAGATTCGAGAAAACAAAAAATGAAAATGTTTAGTTTGAGATAGATCGAGTATATGTTATTTATTTTTATTTCAAACATAAATAATTTTAAATTTTAAAAATATTATAAAAATTGTAAAGAAATTTAAAAAACTTTTCTAGGAAGAAGAAACAAATAGATAAAAAAGAGTTAAAAAACCAAATAATAAACAAAAAATTAGAAATTAGCACGAGCGCCTCCACGGTTTAGAAAACAGGTACCAACGCTTCTTCTTCACCGGAAAATGACAAAAAAATGATCAAAGGGAGTGTAATTGCAACATTTCGAAACCATGGAGAATTTAGAATTAAATTTTGTCTATTGATTTTTTAAGATTAGAAATTGTTAAAAAAAACACTAGCAAAGTCCCTGACCGAGGGAGTGACTGAATCGGGTCGCAGCCGCCACAATCGCATTCCGCACGACTCCTGCTTCCCAGGCCCGCCGGGATCGCACTCGGCACTAGCTGTGACAGCCAGCTCTGGAATCCGAATCCGGCCTTCGCAGGTCCAGCGGATAGCACCGCAGCGGCACTCCTTCAGGCCGCAGGTATGTCTTCGAACCTCCGCTTGTGCTGTGCGTTTTCCGAATTTCAATCGTTTTTTGTGTTTTGGTAATTAAATTTCGAGGTTGATTATAGTTTCTTCGGCACTTTGAACCGACCCTTGCCCACATCCGATTTGATTTATGCATTTGATTTTGAAGAGATACATGGAAGTTGAGTTTAATTAATCTCCATCAAGAGAATTCATCCCCGAAAGGATGCCACCAGTAACGAATATGATAACTTGTTCAAACTGTTGGTGATGGGCAACTTTTACCTTGGAAAGTCTTGTGTTTTCAGATTTGCCAGTAGTTCATATATTGAAAGTTATATTAGCACGAACGGAGTTAATTTTAAAATTAGGATTGTGGAGCTTGATGAGAAGACGATAAACCTCCAAATTTGGAAAACTCAAGAGCGTTTTTTCGGACAGCTACAGACGGCTAGTCGGCTACTATAGTGGAGCGCATGGGATTATTATCGTATATGACCTAACTGAAACAGAGAGCTTCAACAATGTAAGCTCTTAGTAGGTAATAACTAATAAATGTGATATGGTGGAGAACAGTCTTGTGGACAGAGAGACAGCAAAGGCATTTGCGGAAGAGCTTTCCGTACCTTTCCTCGAGTCTAGTGCAAAAGATTCCATCAATGTAGACCAGGCTTTCTTAACAATGGCTGGGGAGATTAAGAAAAAATGGGTAGCCAACATGCTAGAACTTGGAACTCCTGTGCTTAACATTTAACATTAAAAACAGAACACTGGCTCTGTTTTGTGCACAAGTAGTTTCAAAATGCCATCTTCATTCATATCAGTGTATACGTGAGATTCATTCTTCCCATTTCATCCCAATTACTATGTTTTATAAATGTATTGGTTGCTTTTTACCAAACTTGATCTTAGTGTTGGTTCTTTTTTAGCATCTTCTTATGGTGTGTTTTATATTTGTGTTCAGTGGCTATTGGACTCATACTGTTTTTAACTACAAAGTTTGAAGTTTAAACTTTGAACTACCATTGTTGTTGAAAATTTGTGCACACATTACAAGTTGTATTTTTGAAAATGCCAACGTATTTAACATAAATGTATCCATATACATATTTTGAATGTATGGAATGTAAAATCGGCTGTATTATAAAAACCCAATCTGCACGTACGAATTAACCTTTTATAGTCGTATCAGAATAAGCTAACATAGGTTCCGGTTATCCTCCTGTGCAAGTCTCCCAAAGCTTCCCCACAAGAATCAACTGAAGAAAAGCTCTGTGCTTTCTATCTGATTCAGATGGTCCTTTCAAGAGGGCTTCGATTCGCCCATCGCCTTGCTCACCGTTCTGTGGCTGGAAAGCTCTCACCTATTCCTGTAATGATTCCGATCATTCCCTCCATCTCCTTGCAAACCCGTTTCTCTTTCTTGTTGGTGTTATAAGACACTAGTCTATTTGCAGGCTTGTAAGATTTCTAGCACAGAAAATGGCTGCACATATAATGCACTGCTTAATTCTAGATCTCGATATGGTATGTACAACTCAGCCTTCTTTCAGTTATGGCACTAAATTTCTCCTAGGGTACTTATACCTGAAAAGGATTTTAGCTTGTTGAGCTTCCATATGAGACTTAGTGTCTATTAAAAACTGTAACACACTCTTTATTTCTTGTTATGTTTATAGAAAACAGGTCAGCAATAGAATGTTACAGTGTACTCAGTATAAGTGGGAATGCAACTAGATTTCAGAGGAAGGAACCTTTTCATGGGGTACGGCTATGGAAGTTTTTTATGCATTGTAATTTGTGAATTATTATGCTAGGGGCACCACAATTGTGGCCCAGGTTTTTTTTCTCACCATGGGTGAAGTTCTTTCATCTGCATATCATATTTATCCTATTATTTTGATTTTTTGCACCTTGGTTCGAAATAATTTACTACTTGAGAACATTGGTTTTTTTCTGTTGAATTTTCCCAGACATTTTCTATAGCAAGTACAGCATGAATGAAACCATATGTTGACAAGGAATCCTGCTAAATTGACAAAAATAGTTGAATTGCATAATATTACCGTCCTGGTTGAATATGATTCATACCCTTTCTAGGATCTTAAGTTTCTTCTCGTTCTCCCCTTAGTACCCTAGTAGCTTTCGTTCCATCCCCACCCATTAATTAGCACACAGTTGAAGTTGATTCAATGACCTTACAATAATATAGTGCTTTATCATGGTTTGGTGTTCTTGGTTTAATCCTAATTAAAGTGTATTTCTATCCTCTGGCTTTTCTTTTCTTTGGAAGGGCCAAATAGGGGCAGGTAACCATTTCATTCATTCACGAGTTCATTACTTATTGGAGCAATATGCCAATATGCATAAAATCCGCCAATACTGCAACAATAACAATTAGGTGGAGTACTGTTATTATATTTGGATAATAATTTGATTAATTTCATCTTGCATTTGAGATACAGGAACAATTTTGTACATCAGCCAGCAATAAGGACACAGGTGAAGCATTTCAGGAAGTGCAGAAGTATATAGCTTTTCTGTGCAATCTTTATTCCTCTAAAAAAATTAGATATCAAAGGGTTCTTTTAAACTTTTTGAATGTATAAATACTAAGCATTGGTAAGTCCTACTTTCTTTCTTTACTCGATTACACCATATTATTTTGACAATCTATTTGGGTGAGGTAAGTGTGTTACAAAATAGCCAATACGTTTTCAATTTTCACCTTATCAATTGAAACATGCCCCGACCCTATCCAAATTTCGCGCATATCACACAGGTTGAACTTCATAATTGGTATCCATTGAACTGCTAGAAGTGATTACCTCTAGATTCTAGGTGATACTGTGTCACTGTGGTAGATCACCTTTTAGTGGTGATCTTTGTAAAATGGTGCCCTTTAATTTTGTTTTTGGTTTTTGAAGTTGCAAGTAACATACTTATTTAGGTAGGCTAGTTGTGCATTCTTAATTATTTAGGACCATTATGGAAAACAATTCAGTAGGCAACGATGATGTCTGTCCAAATTGTCTGAAAAACTTTACATCTTAAATATGTTATTTAATTTTTTTGTTTGCAATTTGCAGAATTTCTGTAACATTTGTAGACAAGGATGGAGAAGAACAACAGATAAAGGTACCCATTGGGATGTCTATCTTAGAAGCTGCACATGAAAATGATATTGAACTTGAAGGTAACCTCAAGTGTGCTTTCTCTTTAATGTGTTCTGCCATTAAAGATTTTGTTTTCTAGGTTGTGAATAGAAAAGAAAAGGGAATCATAGGCGAGTTCTGCATGGTTATTTTATATTATTGTAAGTTTTTAGGGAACCAAAGAGATCCCTGAGGTAGATGAAGAACCCTCTCTTGCCCGTGGCTAGAAGAGGAAGAACTTTGGAACCCATAGTCCGCAACTAAAAATTGTTTAATTGCTTCAACGATGATAATTTCATTTATAATTGTGTGAGGATAAATAGGCAAAGCCTTACAAGAGACCTATCATAATCATATTAGGAAACATGAATCCTTATTCTGTTAACTAATATAGAACAAGACTACTAATAAGAAAGGATTAATATTCCTAATAATAATAGGAAGCTAATAATAATAGCAATAGGAAACTAAAGATAATAATAATTAATTATATTAAAATAATAATAATAATAATAATAACAACTAATGAAATTTTGAACCCGAGATCCGAAACCTAAGTTTGCAACATCGACAAACAAGATACCAAAGTTGTTTCAGATCTCTTATCGAACCTTTGGTTCTTGTGCAGGAGCGTGTGAAGGATCACTTGCTTGTTCAACTTGTCATGTGATTGTTATGGTATATGTATTAGGGAGTATTTTCATATAATATCTTCTATATGCGCAAACATCTCTAATTTTTAAAATATTGCGCCATCAAATTGGGTTTATATGTGTCTTTATACGCATCATCATCATGATCATCATCATTTTTTAATGCAATGATAGGATATGGAGTACTACAACAAATTAGAAGATCCAGCAGACGAGGAATATGACATGTTGGATCTTGCTTTTGGCCTCACAGAGACGTGGGTTTTTTAATCTGTGTAATTTTTTTAAAGCACTTGCAGCTTGAATGTCTTGGATAATCCGATTGTGCTTACGTTTTCTTCCTGCAGTTCACGCCTCGGGTGCCAAATAATCGCAAAGCCCGAACTTGATGGAATTCGGTTAGCCATACCCGCAGCCACCAGAAATTTTGCCGTTGATGGATTCAAGCCAAAACCACACTAATTCATACACGAGCGTTATTGATGTGTAAGCCCTCCTTTTTCTTTCTAGGTGTTCAAATTTATGCGTGACTTCAGAAATACACTTCACAATCACGCACACATACATGCATGGCAAAGTGAGCGATTTTGCCATCTTCGCTTTGCTCTAGTACTTTTTAAATGATTCTAGTTACTATTTATTTAGCAATGGATGACACACGTCCACTGTTTTTTGTGCTAATAAGGAGTGATTCCATTTTAACTGGTTTGATATTGGTAATGAATTCACTAATTGCCCATGATATATAGGGCTCTTCGGTTCTATCAGATGAAACGTAGTATAAGATCGATATTTCTTGGCACTAATAGTCTTATTTTTTACAGTAGTAATAATGAATTTTAAGCCTTAATAAATCTCAGCCCTTCCCTTTTCCATGATTGCCGATTTCCTGTACAGTGTTGTCAAGTTATAAATATGCTCTCTGTCGGACTTCATTTGCTGCTTGTCGGACCTCATTTGATTTTACTCGGGCGTCATTTGCTTCTTTCCAAACCTGTTGTGCTTCCTCATAAACCTTTTTTGCTTCCTCTTGATTACTTTCGCGTTGAGCTCTACGCCAAAAGCTGTATGCTTTGGCCCGAACACCAACGGCACGGCTGCGGACCCCATCTGCCTCATCCCTAACACTATCTGCTTCATTCCGAACTCCATCGCCTTCGTGTCGGGCTATTTTTGCATTGGTCTGGAGAATCCTGTCGACTTTGTCCCGAACCCTATCAATTTTCTCTAGTACTTTGGCGATCTCCCGCCGAACTGTATTCATTTCTTGGCGAATCTCATCAGCTTCTTCACCAACAGTCCTCTGTTATTAAACATTAAATTTAGTTAAGGGTTAAATTGGGGGGGGGGGAGGAATAGTCAAGTTTACCAATAGAATACTGTAGGTACCTCGGGTCATTTTGACATTTGTTATTTTAAAATTCTATTACTACCACAAATTTTGATTACAAAAGAAGGGTACAAGGCCATGCGCGACCTCCCACAAAGAAGTGAAAAATAATTTGATGCGCGGACTGGGGAGTAGTTTTTGCATAGTCTAACAATAGAAATGAAAAGATACCTTTGGTAGCGATAGCGGCGGTAGCGGTGGGGGGCGAAGCAAAGGTGGTGCTGGCGGCAATGGGGGTAGGGAAGGTGGCAAAAACGCTCTCGCACCCACCATGGCCTTTTGTGCTTCGTCGTAAGCCCGTTGTACTTCCTCATGAACCCTTTGTGTAGCCTTTTGTGCATCCTCACCAGCCTTTTGTGCTTGCTCCATAGCCTTTTGTGCCACTTTTTGTGCTTGCTCCCTAGCCTTTTGTGCAACCTTTTGTACTTCGTTGTGAACCTTTTGTGCAACCTTTTGCGCTTCTTCATTAACCTTAAGGTGCACACGTATATATATATATATATATATATATATATATATATATATATATATATATATATATATAACTCTATATGCAAACATAATATCGTCTTTGTTTCAATGTATTCCTTTATTTTGGGTGTGTTTCTTTGTACTGGAACTTATTGACTTATTGGTGATTAATAGTTTTTAACGTCACTCTATTTTTAATGTCACTCTTTGTACGCAAAATAGTCTTTATTTTCTCCACCTCTCTTATTTTTAGTGTCACTCTAGATTCTCCTTTATCTTTCCCTGCAATATTGCAGTGGTTTCACATCACAACACGAAATTTATCAAACTAAGGCTTAGGTCTCACACTTTGCCTTTTGTTTTTAGTAAGAGTTACTTTGTGCTTCCATGATTTTAAGGTTCACGTTTAAAATGTAAATCTATTTACAGTTTTCATGTCCTCCCATCTATTTTTTTTCAAAGAGCCAATTCATTCGTGGTATTTATATATTAAGATTTATAAAATGAGTGTGGACTTTAAGACCATTGAAGAATTTTCCATTTTCCTTTTAATAGTATGCCTATCAAACCATAAATTTGTTCTATTAATTATATAGTAGTTTCTAATATAAAGATAAATAAAATTAATTTAGATATTTTTAAAAAAAAGTGACTTAAACTTACAAAATATATATTTAAAATAAAGATAAAAATGCCACAAAAATATTTTTTGAATTAAAAAAATTAATGATTGTTAAAAATTTATTATCCTCGTTTCCTTGTTCTCTTTTCTCTTAGCTTCTTTCCCCCAATGAAAACATATTCCCCTCTTCCATCTTCTCTCCTTTCCCTTCCATGCTCTAATTATTTGATCACCTACCACTAAAGATGCTCTTAGTTATACAAATAGTGCAGGTGTGCTTTATGAGTTCTTTTTATGCATACAAATTTGACTAACATAAATTATGAATATAAAAAAAGGGCACAAGGCAGTGTGCGACATTAAAATATGTCAAGTTTAATGTAACTATAGGTTAGTATATAATTATAATCATAGATTACATAATGTGCTTTATTAAAAGAGTACTCCATAACTTTTTACGATTTTATTATTATATAATTATAAATAATGGTGTTAATTAGTAACCAAGAAGATTCAATGTATGTATTCTCTTCGTCCTTGAGTATTTGTCCATTTTTGACTTTTTTGGTCAAAATTGGTAAACTTTGACTTCAATTTAAATCAAAATGATATTAGATATTGATATAAAAAAAGTCAAAACTAGACAAATATTCATGGACAGAAGTAGTATGTATGGGTAGCAAATAGGAATACCTTTTTAGCATTTAACTCTAGCTCCGCTCTTCGTTCTCTGTCCCAATAAAGAGAATATAGTTACACATTTGATCCTCTCTTCATTTGATTTTTTTTGTCAACACTTTTAATTTTTGTCATAATTTACGGAAAAAATATACAGAATATCTAGACTCATTTGAAAACATAATTTTGAAATGTGCTTCTATAATATATACGCATATTTTAAAAGATCTGACACATTAATAGTCAAATTGTTGTATTCGATAATGAAAAATCAAATTAAATTAAATGAAAGTTATGGAGAATAATAATTACTTGGTGTGAACTACTCCCTCCGTCCCGTTTTGAAAGTTATGGAGTAAGACAATAAATTCTCCAAATTTGTCCACAAACATGCATGTGATATTTGCATGGATGTGACCAAATATCCTCAATTTGTTTTTTGTTTTTGCTTTGGGTGTAATTGTTCTATATATGAACTTGTTTTGAATATCCATAATTATATTCCATATAACAAAAGAGGTAGGGCTATATATCCAAATTTGTATCTTACGTTGTACACGGAAGGTAAACACATACACTAGTACTTGTGTGTCCCGCTCAAAGATGGTGTGTGTCTGTATTTGCTTTTGTTGTGCAAATTGAAGTACCCTTAGCAGTTAGCATGACCCTTACATATAAATAACACTGCTTTATCGACTTTCATGGTTGATCTTGGCTTATTTTGGATTTAGCTTTATGGTTTTAAAATTTTTATGGAATGATAGCTTGCCTGTTTTTTTTTTTTTGCATTTTTTTAAATTTATCAAGTACAATAAAAAAATTACTCCACATATGAAATGTTAATGCTGATCATAAACATTATTCCCAAACGTTGACCAAAAAAGTTATTATCAAACAAAGCTTTGTTATTGCAATATAATCTTAAAACATCGAGATGAATGAAAATGAGAAATGGAGGGGAAAAAATCTATAACACATTTTTTAAGGCACATGACGAAAAGTTAAACCCTTTTTGTATCATAAAAAAATCACATTATGTTTTTCATTTTGGATATCCTAAAAAATCCTCCAATATATATTTTTTTAATTTTCTTTTAAAGAAATAAACATGTGAGTCAAAAATGTTTGGAGTCATCTAAATAAATTTGAACCACATACTTTTCACTTTCTAACATTTTTTTTAAATTCCGTACAAATAACAATAGAATTTTTTTTTTATTGCGGAGTAAAGGAGGCAAACCTAAGTATTTTTGCCCTCGATTTTTCTTCCTCTGAAATAGAAGGATCCTTTTCTTCATCAATAATGTCTTCGATGGGAATCTGATTAATTGAAAGACATTTTCAAACACGTCAACATAATTAATGAAGAAGAACTTTTTGCACATGTTAATTTAAATAATTTATTAGGTAATTAGTTTTAAGTATGATATTGCTCATATATATCTTCACATTTGTTTTAGGGCACCTCTTGATCAAAGTAACTCACACTAATTAATACGTTAGGTTAATAATAACAACAACAACAATAATAATAATATTAATAATTGTATTTCATTAAGCTGAGAAATGTATGAACAGATACTACATTGTAAGAAATCAAATGTATTAAAGAAATTTTTCAGTAAAATATATACCTCGGCAACAACCTCATCCTCATGAGCAAGAATCCAGTTTATGACATCCTCAACACTCAAAACACTTAAATCTCCTGATAATCCATCAATTGCATTATAATCTTTATCATATTAATGGAGTGTTCAAATTCAATACATATTTGGATCATAGTGTTGGTATTTTAATCCACTAAAACACTCATATCCTTGCGAAATAAATAGTGCCTATATATATGATGAAGGAAGAGTGCTAACCAGAATAGTGTTGAAGTGCGTTCTTAACTCGACTCTCAGAGAATCCCACACTTTCCAGTTGACTAATCAATTCTCGGTTAACTTGCCAATCAGACCCCATCACTCACGCCTAGCTGGCACAAATTTTAAAAAATTATTTTTAAAAAAAGATTTTTTTTCTTAAATAAATTATTTGCAATTATTCGTTAATAATTAACTACTGTGTGAAAAGTAAGAAAATGTTGATGAGTACATACTTCTATTCACTTGAAGACTTGAAGTTGGATTCTTGATATATGATAACTTAAGAGACGATGTGGATAGATATATTTATTTATATGTATGCAATATGAATTAATTATAACACTCATCACATATATTATTCCATGCCTCTTAATTAAACATTGATTTAGCATTCTTTACTTTTGATCACAGCCAAGCTAAGGATCTTTAATTTGCTATTACAAGTCACCCTAGATTCTCAATATATAGACAAATGTTAAAGTCACAAGCAAAAAATATTAGAAAATGCACATAAGATTTTTTATCTATAAGCTTAATAAAACAATAAAATAGATTCAAAGGAGCAAGAATTGGGAATTTATATCTATAAATAACGAGTTTATATATTTGTAACTTTTCTATTTGTGACTCGAGCATTTGTTTTCTCAAATCTGGATATCCTTATCCAACAACTAATTATGGAGGCTCTTTGAATTTCGATGGGGTGAAATTTTTATTTTCTTAATTATTACGGAGTACTCCGTAATTAAAATAGCCGGATAGTTTTTATTAATTTTTTATTTTTGTTTCTTTTAGGCTACATTTTTACCCAAGGGTTGTTACTTGTTAGACTTCGACTTTTATATACTCCTCCGTCTTGGAATGATATTTCTTAAATGACAATTTGGATGTCCCAAATATGATTTTCCTAACTTTCATTGTCTTTTTTAACATGTTAAGTGTTTCGCTCTTTTCATTTATAAAATATCACCTACTTTATTTAAAAATGGATGGGATGCATAGGTGTAAATGTTTTGTTTTTTTTTTTGCGTAAAAACATTTCACCTTTTGTTCAGGTGCGTATAATAATTCCACATTTTAATGTGATTGTATACTTTGGGCCAACAATAACTTTTTTGTAGCTGTACGAATGTTTGAAACAAAATGATCGTACTATACGGATTACAATGGACAAGGAAAATGAGTAATTCTGAAAGGAACTAAAAAGAAATAAATTCGAATTTATCATATAATTTATTCAGATTAATTATAATAAATAAAAATAAACAACTTCTGAAGACAAAGTCTCTTGAATCCTGAGGACGGTGTTGCGATTTCACGACTTTGATAACGCGAAAACTGTTAAATCACCAACACAAGACATCCTCTTTTGAGGTGTTCATATAGTGATATACATACCATTAGGCTTCAACCTTCAACTTTTCATTCCTAATATTTTTACCAAACAATTACTAAAGAAGCCCCATTCCATCGAAATGCATGGTTATATGATTCTTTCAACTTGCAACATATACGGTTAGTGAATACTCGTTCCGTCCAACAATTATTTTTTTGCTTACTATTACAACCCGCGTCTCGACAGTGACGCGGATCCAGAAAAGAATATGATCAGAGGCAAAATCAGACAAAAGAGTAGGGTGGGGGTCCAGGGCAGCGCCTCTGATTTTTTAAAAAAGATTTATAATAAAGAAAAATGACGCGGAACAGTAATATTCAAATCACAGTAATATTTTTACCAAACATAACACGGCCCGACGTCATGTGTATTTCTTGTGCTCTTACATACATTGACCTCAAAAAATTGGTGAAATTTGCATTAAATAGTACTCCCTCCGTCCCAAAAAGTCTCTCATGTTTCATTTTTTATGCATTCCATAAAACACTTCTACCGACATCTAAAATGCCTAAAATTTACAACATTTTTTCTTTATTGTGGGTAGAAATTATTTTGAAAAATTTTTTGGCATTCAAGGCGGGATAGAAGTGTTTTATAAGATACGCAAAAAATGAAACAGGAGTATTAAAATATGTCTTTTCTCAATATAGTATCTACAACTTTTTGTTCCAAAATATTACTAGAACAATGTCCAATGGCGAGAACAATATCCAGTGACAGTGGACATCGAAGAGTGATACTACATTGAAAAACAAAAAATAAAGTGTGATGAATAAGCCCCTGTTCGTCTCTTCACAAATCAATCACAGTCCTGGGCCTCTTATCCCCTGGCCTCTTAAAAAGTGCTGGACCAAATGCACCTTAAAGCAATGACACTATTAAAACATTGCCACCCTTAACTATTATTGGATTATTGGGAGGACTTATTAATTAACGAGTGGTCTCAAACTTGTTACGTGCCATCAAAACAGTGAAGCTAATTAGACCTTAATAAATTGAGAAGTATCAAGAGATCACAGTAATACCTGAGTTCGATTCTAAGAATATAATTATGTTAAACATAGAGTCTCTGTAAATAGTAGATGCAAACTTTATTTTTTTATGATTAAATTGTGATTAGAGTCTAATTTATCTTCTTTCACGTGATCATCCGACCGATTCTAAGGAATCCTCAGAGACAGGATTAATTTTATTTTTTTTAGATGAATAAATGGAGAAATGTAGTAGAGCCACACATATATAAATGTCTCGAATAAATCTAAGGAAATGCATGTCCATTGATAATGGACAAAAATCTACAGCGGATTCCATGTGACTCCATGCACAATTGTTTTTTCTTGTTTAATGATACTCCCTCCGTCCCAAAATATTCACAACATTTGCTTTTTCAGCAGTCGCGGGAACTTTTGTTTATTTTGACGTTTTCATTAGTTATTTGATAAAATAAAATATTCTTGACACCTCTTATTTCGAAGAACTTTTCATGTAGTTTTTTTATATGTAAATTTTATTTTTTATTTCTATACTAATTTGTAAATAAAATGAATTGAAAAAACTTAATATTTTGCCTCGGGAATACAAATGTGGCAAATAATTTGGGATGGAGGAAGTATGTCTTAAACTCTGAATTGGCTGGTGGATTTGACCTCTATGCCCTTAATTTTTCATGCATTTTCCATGTTCTCTCTGTTCCCAACATTTTCATATATTTTCTATTCTCTCCGTCCATAAATAAACTTTCATTATTGACTTTTTGAGGATTTAAGGGAGGGATATTTTTGTATTGACTTTCCAAAAATACCCTTGATGTGATGTGTAAAAGTAAGATGTGATAGGTAGGTTATTAGTAAAAAGGTATGATGTGATAGGTAGGGTATGAAAAAGTAAGAGGTAAAAGAGGTTTTTTAAGGAAAAAGAGAAGTTTATTTGTGGACATAGAAAAACGAAAGAGAAAGTTTATTTAGGGACGGAGAGAGTATAATTTAAAGAAAAAAACATTGTTTGATTCATATTCTTCCTCCCTCCCTATTTTAATACGGTGAGGTTCTAGTGACACCGGAGTACGGTGACATCCTGGTATCACTGTCATTTTGAGACACTTCTGGTACTTCGTTTGTAAAATTGATGGTGTCTACCCCCTCTAACCACTCCCTAAACTCCCTATTCCATCCCCACCCCTCTCCTCCCACCCTAACCCCCCTAAGCTCCTTCCAAATGTGTGGCTATTATGCAATCAGCAATTTCAATGTCAACAGAATCACTTTTCATTTGTTTCTTGTATAGAGTTTGAGAATTGTAAAATTTTGTGTTTTAAATTTGTGCGGAGGAAAAGAAAATTGACCAAATAACTCTATCTTTAAAAAGAGACACAGAGAGTGAAAAACATCAAAACTTCAATTTTGATATATGAGTAATAAATTATTATAAAAATTCGAGTTTATTTTATTTAGAGTATTTCTTTCGGTATTATTTCATTATTTATTTTTTATATTATGAAGTTTATCTTCTTTTTTTTATGAAATATGTTGTTGTGTTTTATCACTTTTCTAATCCCCCATTTAAATTTTGTCTAGAGCCCCTATCCAAAGTTAGAAATGGTACTAACATATCTTATCTATGACCATATTTTCAATAAGATTTTCAAATTGCAAGTCTTTGACTAATTTTCAATCTCAATCCCTTCATAGTCTACCTCACATTAGAAATTAAAGAAAAAGGTATCGTTAGATTATATTAGTGCTGGAGTTGAACTAAATAATCAATTGGATTTAAAGTTTTAATTGATTGAACCGAAAACTATTTTATGGCTCAGTGTAGTGATCCCTACCCCATCCAAAAACTCTGCCATGGTTTCAGAGAAGGTTTTTGCATACCAGATTTGCTAAGGTGTGTGCTTAGACGTTCATTCTTAGCGTCTGTAATCTTTAATATAGTTGTCGATATGAAATACATAACCAATGGCATGTGCCCATTTAACCTGTCTATTCATCCGGAAGCCAATACCCAGCGACTCAGAGTCCATCAAGTGTTGCTGTTGCATTTTCAAATATTTGTTTCAATGGGGAGTGAGTCCATTGCAAATGGTCAACCAGTTAAATTCAAAATGGTATGGTTGTCCATTTGAGGGGGAGAGTTAGAGTGTACCCCACATCAGAAGTTGAAGATAAAAGTTATTGTTATATTAGCTTTTGAGTTGTACTAAGTAATCAATTGAATTCAAACTTTTAATGTTGTTCAGCTCAAATGCCGTCTTATACTCTTATGACACCATCCAATAACCCTTATCCCATCCAACATTTCTATCATTTTCTCACACATAGAATTGACAAATGTGAGGTTTTGACATCGCTCAGCACTCGGTTCCATATAACATACTATCTCTGTCCCAGAAAACTTTTCCTACTTTGTTTTTTTGTTAAACGGCGACACTCTTTGATCATAAATTAAACATAATTTGAATAAATAAATACCATATTATATTTTTTTTTCACAATTTGAACTCAAAATAAGAATTTTTCTGGAATAGAGGTAGTAGTTGATAATGAACAATAATACCCGGAGTATAATTGAAGCTTGTACTTTAATTCCACTGTACCTTTACACACGAGTCCAACGTACAAGTGTACTAATACTACTACTACTAATTACTCTGCCTAACTCTCCATGTGCAACGCCAAAATCAAACTTGTATAAATATGGCTCACCCCATCATATATATATATATATATATCTCAACAACCTCCCAAGAACGTAACATGGCTTCCTCCGTCAAAACCACCTCCAGGCTTTCCCTTGCCATGGAGAGAACCGGCAAATGGTATACACATATATGCACACCACATATATTCTTATGACACACACACACTAAGTCCACTTGGTTTTAAT